CAACAGTGGTTGGTCATCTGAAAAACAATCAATACACCTTGGGTGCTTTGCACACAACACTGATTTTCAATGAAAGGTTTTAAAGGACTACTGTAACACTGTCTGAAGATGAATCACAAACTTGGAACAAACCAGCACCGTATGTTGTGGTCGTTTCTTAAGAAGCTGGCGCTCTGTGAAGTCATAGTTGTAGCCAAATCTCATTAAAACAAGCAGCACATTTTCAACTGCTATGATGTGTTTTACTATTTAAAACTGGCCAAAAAGTTTCACCCAGAAGAAATAATACAACAAGGCTTGTACAGGGCCAGGACGGGTTCTGTTATGAAGGAACATGTGGCTGCACATCCCACTCATCTGAGCACCCAGACTCAGATTAGGGGGTTGGTTCAGTAGGGAAGAAGTGAGTTCCCCTAGTTCCAGTGCCCAGATCTTCTTGCCAGCATGTTAAAGTTCAACAATATGTCCCTGATACAAGATGAGTTAGCTCACATATGTCTCAACATTTGTGATTATTATATAGATTATTTTTTCTGGTTAAGATTGCTGTAAGTCCTATGCATACTGCACTTCACTAAAAAAAGGTGGGCAACCCTTATGAAAATGTTTGCATCATTCTTGCACTTAGTTTCTCTTGAACAGACACATTTGACCACAAATGCACTTATCTACTAAGGGTCATCTCAACGGCATCATAACATTTGACCTTTCAAGCTTTTACTCCTCCATTATGCAAAACAGGAGCAAAGGACGCAGCATCATCTACGCCCAGTTTATGTGCTTTCCATCTATATACTGGTGTGATCCTTTGTGTGGATTGCAAATCTCCTAAAGACATCATAGAAACCCAATTAACATGAAAGTGACATGTAAATGGCACCAAGGTAAAGTATCCAAAAAAATTATCCACATTTGACTCAAGAAAGTGATATTTTTAAATTTAAGATTTCAATGATCATCTATAGCTCAATTGGGAAGCCAAGAAAATAAATATGAAGAGTATATATAGAGTTGTTTTTTCACAAAGACTGAAGGTTGTGAAGCAACCAACACACATTGCCAATACCGAGCTTTCTAAAAGTACCCACAAAAACATCCTAAATCAATTTGGAAAACAGCTATGAAAACTATATGGGAGAAAGTATAATTGTTGTCATAGCAGCACCAATTCATTCACATTGAAGCGCAGGTTTTATCAATGTAATATGAATATCTAATAGAGAGAGATTCAGTACAAAAAAACCCTTGAATCTGGTTTTCTACAATTATTATGCAACATAGGTTAACAAAGAACTAAATTCAAACATTTCAAATGAGAAACACAGTTTACTGTTTATTTCTGAATAAATGCTGCTGCCAATTTTACTCAGGCAAGAAAAATGCTAACTTAAAATATAGCACTGGTTATAACGGTCTAGCAAGCAAATATTTATTTTTTATGGAAGTTATTTTGCTTATCAATCCTGTATGATAGTCTTTGAAAAGACAGCCCTGCAATGCAGTTATGCTCAACTCAGTTTTCTTCCTCTTTCATCTTTTCTTTGTTAACTACACAAAAGCTGTCAGAAGAGACGTCTCTCCTCTTGTCCTAAATATAACTGTAAGAGCCTAGTGCTGTTTCTGAAACATTTAAGAGGAAATAATCAGTTATTAATTCAGAAACAAATCAGCTTTTAACCGACAAATCTTAGGATTCAAATCAACTCAAAGTAGCATTGACAAGTTAATGGGCCTTTTATGAAGATTTGTCTGACTGGCACTAATATTAACCGAATCATTTCATTCACTTCACTGTCAAATGCCAATGTGCTCTGTGTGTTTAAACATGGTGAAAAGAAATTGTGACATAAATGTGAAAAATGTTGCAACAGGATGAAGAATTGTTTAAAATTAACACCACCAACTTCCTTTGGAAGTATTTATACACACTTTGGGATATTGTGTCAGGATACAATAATCCAGTTAAATAACTCTGCTTTCTTAGAGCAAGTTCTTTGAATAATGATGTGTAGATTGTTACAGCCGCAGAGCCTTGCAAAAGTACACATAGTGGAACTTGTTCGCATTTTCAGCTTGGTTAGTTCTTGACAATATCGATGTCAAGAACTAACCAGAGATCAGGGATCAACTAGTATTGGCGTGACCTCTTAAGTGTCAAATGCTTAGTTAGTTGATGAATCCATGAAGACAAAAGACATTTAAGAGGTTTTACATTAGAGATACATTTTTAAGCAATTTCCAAAAGTTTAACAGCCATAATCTGAAAATTGTAAAAAGCATTGCACAGCTACAAACCTACCTAGCTGACATTTATATTATACTATGCAAACTATGGTATGCTCAAATTAATAAACTAATGGATGAAAAAATATATTTAAAACATTCAACCATATTTTTTCATATATTACTATCATATTTAGATTTTATCTAAAAACCAACAACAAAAAAAATTTCTCAAGTTAGAGTAACTGAGCTTCTATATCTACCTCTCATTTAAATCAACATATTCCAAGAAGGGATTTTGGATTAGTAAAATTGAGGTATCGTTTAGCATTAATCAAATTTAAACTTTTAAGTTTGATAAGTATTCAAAAGTACTTCTCTTTCAGGACATAAAAAAATGTTGCAGATGCTTGTGAATCTAGAGGAGATTTTTTTAAGAGACCCATATAATGCTCAACCAACTATCAGTCTAGCATCACTCCTGAAAGCTGAACTTTAGTCTCAAAGAGCCACTAATTTTAGTATTTTATGCTAAGATAAAATACTAGCCTTTTAGAGAAAGTGTAAGACAGCACATAGAAAGTATTCAGAGCAATTTTTTTTTCACATTCTTTTGGCACGGATGTATTTTCCAGAAACACAGTGCCATTTTGTAGCAAAAAATTCAGTTCACTTAATATAGAACAGGACAGAAGGATTATCCAAGTCTCTTACAAGTAGAAGTGTTTGTAAAAACTGATTGTAAAATTTAAAAAAATTAAAATCTTTAACATTGATAACAAAGGTGCATCTGAGTTCACACATTCATTTATTCTATCACCTGGAATTGATCTGATATTCCAAGGGATGTAGCTAAAATATTGAGCCTTAATTTGTGAGCAGTATTTCAGAAGTGCTTTCATTTCCAGTTGTAACAAAGAATTTCCATTTTTAAAGGCATGTACTTCCCTTTTCACATGGCCTTACTTAGAAACAGCCATGATAATCAGAGCATGCATGTCTCAGTGAAATGTCACGGCACACCAAATACCCAATCACATGTTCGATCACACACCACATACCCAATCTTACACGTGTGAGGAATCTAAAAAATCTAAAACATAGACCATAAAACACCCCGTCATGGTGAAAAGAAAGCCTATTGGTGTACGTGTTTTGTATAGTTAACGTTTTCACTTAACGTTTAACACAATTTTGCATTTATCTATACATAGCCTTAAGAAACTGAAAAAAGTGCAAATACATGCAGCTGGTAAATGTGTTTATGGATTTCTATGATGTTTTAGTTTTGATTAATTTAAAGAAAACAAAATAAAAGAAAACAAACCTTTCAGTATTTGTTAATTAGGAATCGAAGCCAATGAGAGAAAAATGTCTAATTTGTGCAATTCTAATAAGAAAACTATAGTTTATACTTTACCTGATCGGCGCCAAAGGGAGTGATGTTGGACTTCACAGTACCAACACCAAGTGCAACTAAAACCAGTCCAACGTAGATTACTGAGCCACAATATGGTCTCCGCCATGGGCAAGTTACATTTGTTGGAGTGGTGCTGTTCATACATTCAGCAGGTTGCACCGGAAATGCTGTCTCTTCTCCACAAAGGTGTATTCTTGTTGAGTCTTTTGAAATAAAAGGGAAAAAAATCATGCCAATAAAATATAGGATTAAACTTGAAGCAATAGTCAAGAACTTCCCAAGGTATGCGTCTGCCAGCCAGCCTCCAAACGGTGATATCAGGTAAGTTATTCCCATGAATGTCAGAAGTGCCTGCGTGGCCTCAGTGCCTTCCCAGTAAAAAGGGCTGTTGTTGAGAAAAAGTACCAAGTTGGATGTGATGCCATAGAACGCAACCCTTTCCAAGGACTCAGCAAGTAGGACAGCAGCGCACGCAAGTCTCCGTCCCTGGAAGACTGATGGTGGTGAAGGTCTGATTCCTGAGTCCAAAAGCGGGCTGCTCTCATTGGCATCCCTGTTATCATCCATTTTCAGCTAAAATGATGGAAACAAAACTCTTCCTGAATAGTGAGTAAAGACCTAAAAAAGAATAACAAAAAGAATACAAATGAGATTGGAAGTCAAACTTTCTATGTTCTATGTCAATAATCGCATCAACATACAAACAATCAGAAGTGAAAATTACCACGAGAACTAACTCTAGAATGTTTTAGACATTGTCATAAAATTTTCAGCAAATGTTTGAAGAACGTTCCTGTGTTGTCCGAATTTCACGTAGTTCACTTCTAGGAGTCCTATATTCACCCAAGTTTGTTAAATTAGAAAACTATTTCCCTACCGTCGCAATATGGTCACGACTTAAGCATATAATTTTTATTTGCTCACAAACGCTCCAATATCACATTACCTGAATTATCCTACTAATGTTACCGTTCAGAAGAAAAACAAACATTAAGCTAGCTGTGACACAAAAAGCGTGTGGTTCATATTACCTTTATTTATTAAAGTTCTTTCCAGCAGTCTTCAGCAACCTCAGTCACTTTAGTCTAAGTTAGAAAATCGAGTGTTTAGTTTTCTGTCGTATTAAGTCAATACTTTCGCTAAAAAGAACTAGAAGTTCACAACAACAGTGTCATAGCACTGTCGCGTGATACCCTACTCAGTAAAAGCTGTCACAGTTGCGTTCCTGAACCGATCTATAGTTAAAACCGGAAGTGATGGTCTCGTGAATAGAGCAGTCAAGGAGTACATCCCTGTGATATAGAAGTCTACTATTTTAGCGCATGCGGTGTACCGCCGGTAAAAGGAAGTTCCATTGAGGTGATTTTATTTTATCGTTTCGTTATAGTAGTGTAGTGATATACGTGTTATCAGGATGTTCTCTTGACCGAGTCTTTAATATTGGTCACGACACAAAAACAGTGCCGACGGCATTTAGTGTTCTGCTGTTATTATTACAGCCGTTTGTTTCCAGGGGACGGATATTAGAGACGGACTTGTAAACATTCGGAGCGTGGTCCGTCACTCCGGTTGAAAAAACACGAGCGGCATGCTGGGCGCTGTTAGTTTTATTCTACGTGGACGTTTCGGTAACGAGTCCAGGAAATGTGATCTGAGCTGGGTGTAGCAAGGGAGCTGAAACTCAGAGACCTGCCTCGCCTGCACTGTCATTCACCGGTTACAGAGGGGATATGAAAGTACTCTTTCTGGCCTGCCTCAGCCCCAAAACAGGGAACCATACGACAGCAGAGAGAATAAGGTAAATCTACCTGCTGATTCAGGTAACTTGGTAATTAGCTGTCGAGGCTCGGTCCGACAGTACACTGGTTAACTATTAATAACCAGGGCTCTATGTGGGGAGCTGTTCTTCACTGCTAATTGGTTGGAATTAGCCATACTGTTGTTGATGCCGTACTTTATTCAACGTGGCTTTTGGCCGCAGCACCTTTGTTCAGTCATGTGGTATCCCTCGTCATCACCGGCGGAGGAAGTAACACATCCTTTATGTAAGTGAAATTGTTCTGTTTTGAGAATCAGCCCAGACTTAAAAATGCCATCTGACTAAAATCACCTCAACAAGGTATTTTAGGTTCTGTGTAAAGTCCAAATGGGTGACCTGGTTTGATTAGATTCTGTCAACTGCTTTTGTAAGTGTTGCAGATCAGCAGTTCTGGCTTTTAAATGCAAGTGTTTAAATGTTTTTAACTGATTAACCACTAGAATAAATAGTTACAATTAATACACGTAAGTAAGTACATTTAATAATATAATGTAATTATGTGATAAATAAAAAACTACTTTTTTAAAAACTGATATTCATTTTTAAATTCCTGTCATTTCAAAATTAGTATTTAATTGTTTAAATATTAGTATTTAATTGTTTGTGCCCACTGACTTTGATTTGTAAGGCTGAAAGAAGAAAAAAATAAAAATATTTAAACAGTTGTAGATGCTTTTTAATGTTTTAATAAATTTCACATTTAATTATTTAGTCTCTTTTTAAAATGATCAATAATTTAAATCAACATGACTACTTAATGTATGGCTTTTCACTTTTATCTGAATGCTTACAAGCATTGATCATTTTTTTCTGTGGTTTTCTACAAAAATGATCAAATAATTATTGCATTCAAAAATGCTGTTGTCCTGCACCGGAATAAAAACTTAATTTCACAACAAGCTTTAAATCAAAAAGACACGTTTAAGAAGTTCTAGTCAGGCTTTATAGAGTTTGATTCGTTTTAACTAGGACAAACATTGCCACTTCCTTATCTCATCATGTTCTTCTATGATAATTCTGGAAAACAGATTGGTTGGCATCAATTACTGTGCATGGTACTTCTGGAAAAGTGGTATTGAACTGTAGCTGTAACACAGCACTTAAAAAGGCTAAAATCATAGACAAACACCTTTTTTCTTCATTATTTTAAAGCACAAAACTACAACTGAATGTTCTCTCATGTGTTTTATGTTTAGGTCTCACATTGAATCAGCAGGACACAGCTGCGAGCTTAGAGATGTGGCAGATTTTCACTCTCCCGCTGACGTGGCACATCTAGTATCCCAAAATCCTCCATTTGAGGGTGCGCTGGCAATTCATCTTTTCAAAGCTGGCAGACTCCTCCTGGGTAAATGACTGAGGCATCATCTGTGTCGTTATGATCAGATCTTACTCTCTGTTGCTAATAGTTGTCAGATCAACAAACATGTAATTATGTCCTTTTTATACGAAGTTTCTTATTTTCTGTTTGCACTAGACCTTCGTTTACCCTTCGGGGTCATTTTTGGCGGTACGGACATAAATGAAGATGTGAAAGATGAGCAGAAGCGTGTGGTTATGAAGCAGGTGCTGCTGAAAGCCAGGTGACCCTACCACTAACCACAATTTCAAAATGCTTGATTCCAAAGACTTTCAGTTTTTGTTGTTGAGTCAGAAGACCCAGTTAATAATGAGCTCTAACACTCTGTTTTTGAGGTGTCAGTCGTAGCTTCGGTATAAATAATATAACTTACTTTTTTGTTTTTTTCAAACCCGTTGTTGTAGAGACTTGATGCAGCTGTCGGCATCTTGAAGTTCAAGGAAGAAGTAAATGTTGCCACCCTAATATTTTTATTCATATCACTCTAATTAAACTTAATCATTATCTAATAATGTTTAATTATGTGATTTTTCTGAGACGTACATTACTAGAGATGGAATGGTTCGCAAACTCCACGGTTCAGATCATCTTTCTTTTCCTTTTTTGTTGAATAATCAACAATAACAATACATAATCCACATCATCCATTTATTTAAATATAGATTATTCTTAGGTCATGTAAAAATTGGCAGTTCAGTGACTGTCAAGTGACTAGAGACAAATCTTGCAACTTTTTTATGTGTTATTGAAGTGGCCAAATTGGAATTGGCTTTTTAAAAATCTGTGATCTGCCAGAAAGCTGCAATCTGTGCACCTGAAGGGTTTCATTTCTTTGTTTGCCTGCTGAGATTTTCACTTTCACCTTTGGAAATATATTTTTAGTTAGAAAGGTGCTACACATAAAACATAAAAATAAAATATCAACAGTATGTCCCAAATTGTGACAAATGAGCAGAGTATCAAATTTTTTTATGAAATACTAACACATAAAGCTAAATCTGCACACAGCATTACTTCAATTGTTGCTGAAAAATGTAATCACTATGTTGAGAAAAGTTTGAGGGTGAGCATTTTTAATTTAACTCCAGCTGTGCAGGTTGCGAGTTGTTTCCTTCTTTAGTTTAACAGAGAGTACTTCTCAGTATCATGTGAAATGACCTGACATCAGTCTCTCTCTCTCTTTCTCTTTTCATGCTGATGAAAAGGGCGTGGCAGGGAGCTTATCTGGGACATTTTAAGCACACAAACCCCTATTGGGAGCAAATGGGGAGATCGAGCTGTTGCATCTTCAAACATCCATGCACCTCCCACTGTTGATGCCTCCTCACACACAGACCTTGATCTTAAAATTCGGTCACCACACAGAGCCCATTGGGCTGCTTAATAATACACTGCCACACATGCAAATTAATATCCTCCCTGTGATTTTTGCCCTACATTTTCCTCATTTTTCACATCGTTTTATTTGCCTGAAGCCAAAGGAAGTTTTCCTTTTGCTCTTGTTTGCGCCAACAACATCAGGGTGCAATGGAGCCTGAATACCTGTTGCCAAGTTGGTGGTTATCCTTTGGTGGTTACTTTATTGATCTTTTGTGGCAAAGAAGTCACAAGATTGCTGAGATATTTGCACCAAATACGGTGTAGTAGATATTAACAAAATAATTTAATCTACATTTATAAAATGTTAAACAGGAGTCTGGGAACAATGTTTCAAGACAGAGTTTAAAATAGTTGTGAATTCATTTGCTAAGCACACCGTGTGTTTATTTTTAAAACTACTGCAGAGAACTTCAGCAGTTCCACTATCGAGTTTACAGATGAGATGGGTGCAGCAGTTAACAAATATTTTATCTGGCAGTGCTAACTCAAACACTTGCAGACAAGAATGTTGAACAAAACCTGTCTGCATACAGACACAGGGACTATTTTAAAGTCTCATCTAAACTTGTATGTAAGTAACCAGTATGATAACCTGAGTCAAACAGACCGGCCACATGCAACTTGGAAGCTATACTTTTAAAAAAGAGTGCTACCTTGATGGGTGTTTCCATTAGTTATTAGGTAATGACTGGCTGTGAAAGATTTTGGCTTTCTTGTCAGTAAGACAATTAACTTTTCTATCTGTTGTAAGCTGCAACTTGTCATAAAAAATGTCTTTCCGTGGTTATGCTATATTTGATAACAATAATCAATGCATGAAACACACAGTATAGAACAAACCTGCCATGTTTAATTCATTTCTACAGTGAATGGAGACTGGCATGAGAAAATTATGCCAATCTCCGATTGCAAAAATCAGATTTTTTGTCAATTCTACTTTCACTAATCCTGCTTTTTCCACAAATGTCAAAATTATCATTGCCTGTAAAATGACTAAAATTCACTCATATTGATCAAAATCCTTGTTCTGATTGAGTCATTTTTTTGCATTTTCCCCCTCTTGTTTCTAATCAGGTTTGCTGTTGCTTTCACTGAAAAACTAAAAGAAGAGGCAGAATTTGTTTTGGTATGATCAAACCCCCTTTTCTCCCATTTCTCTATTAAATTCCTGTTATTCCTTGAGTATTTTCTCATTAATAATGCTTTGAACCTATTACTTGTTCCATTCTAAGTTTGCTGCAAAATTTAAGTTAAATTACCATAAAATAGCCATAAAAGCTATTTTATGGCGGTAACAAATGCAGTTATTCACTATTTGCTCTACATTCATTTATGATAAACAACAAGGTATTCTAGCACAAAATCACTACCAACTTTGACAAACACAAGACATAATTTGATGACTTTTTCTTCCTCATGGTATATCTGCAGCCCAATATTTTGCAGCAGATTAAACAATCACATTGAGATCATGTCTGCTGAGAGTCAAGCGTATAACAGCCTGTTGGGAGTCTAGTCTAACCCTAACCCATTATTGGCATTCTTCCTCAGTTGCTGAAAATACACTGTTTTTATGAGAGGCAGGTTTTACAACAAAGAATGAATAAAGTTTCTTGTTCAGTGTCATTTTATATTTAACTGCATTAAAAAACAAAAATACTTATTCTGAAAATCACTAGTATTTCAGGAATCCTATAGTGGTGTAGCATTGGGATTGCCTTTTGAAACCATGTTCAGAAAATCTTGTGTTTTTTAAGAGTGAATAAAAAGTGCTGATTGGAAGCTAACTAATCAGAGTTAGTCAAATTAAGGCTAATTGGTATCTTTTCCATTCTGTGTTCAAATGTGTCACAAATTAAAAGTTCTTTCTATTCTTTGACGACACATTAGCCTTTTTGTTAGCATTTCAAGCTTGTGACTTTGAATTGTATTTTCATGACTGTTTCACTGTTACAAAGAACTGAATGTTGCTGACAATTTCACTCACTTTTATGAATTGCTCTTCCTTCACAATATGCATTTTGTATTGCAGACCTATCTATGCAGAGGTTGTAGAGGGATTATGGGGGAAAACGGGTGGGACAATCTGCAAAGGTTTGCGGTCTGTTACATGGATACATGTAGACTTGCAATACATATACCATTCACACATGCCCTTGTCACTCGTGGGGTCGGGAGGGACCTGAACACATAAGAATAATTCAGAATGGCTAGTTAATCTAATGTGAATGTTGTTTGCCCCAGAAAGTTGCTGCACAAAAAGACAGAGTCCCAAATTAAAACCCATTTACCAAGTTAAATTGTGCTACCAAGTGCACCACCTTGCTGCCTTCAAAGTAGCTCTTTTGAGTCCTTTAATTTGACTGTTTCTTTTTATTGAGAGACAAAGACTTACAAGCTAATTCAGTATGGTAAAATAATTTCTTAAATTACTTTAATAAACCTGGCAGTTGGGTTTGAGTTCCTCCCCTTGAGAGCAACAGTGATATTTTTCTTTATTTTTGATTTCTTAATCATTTGATTACATCCAGTCTACATCTATATTTATGTAGTGGTCATTAAGGTTTGTTTCGCCATCAAGCTGTTAAATGTTGGTATGTGTCTCATAGTGCATAAAATGCAGTTTATCCCTATTTACTGATTAACCTTTATGAATCTGTTGATTTTATGTACACTCAATGTTGATTGTTTCCTCGTTTAGTTTCTATTCCTTTCAAAATTACTTTGTTTTATTCGTAAAACAAAAAGCTTTCATATTTGCATTATAAAGCGAAAAGACATCCGGAGTCTGACAACATCAGTAAATGTAACAGAAGGGCTTTCATTATACAAACACAATATTGGGCCCTGTCTCACAATCGTCTGGTATTAAAAAAAACATTACAGTGTTTTATTTTCAGACGAGATTGCAGCCACAGGCAGCAGATTGAAGCCACTGGCATCCTTTATCTCCACCATTTAAGTGGTGAGAGCAGGAAGACAAGGCTGGCACGAGAGGCATTGCTCTGCTTTTTTATTCTGACACAAAACATGCGTTGTTGATGGATCTGGTGTGATAACATCCAGGCAATTAAATTTTCATCTCCTTGATTTATTTTGCAATATAACTATTATCTGATCAACTGGATTCCTGACTCTCCTTTTAAAGTTTGTGTTTTGTTTGAATGTGCTCTGAGCATGGAGAACATTAAGCGTCCAAAACCAGAGCAGCACCGACAGCAACAATCACATCTTTGTTTGAATAAACGTTGCCAATCACTGCTGATTTATCTGCTTGTGAACTCTTTGTTTTTCACTTTTTTTAAAAAACTACTTTTATCTTTTCTTCTCTTGCTCAAGGTGTCACCCGACAGTAAAATCTATGTCCAGCCTCAGGGTAAGTTGTCGTGCAGCGAGAATGGTACTTACTTTGTGAAATGGTGGAATATTTCTACATAATTTAATATTTGGATCACAAATAATTTGTTAGGTTTGATGGGTTGAATATGCCTCTTCTCATCCTAACAGCATTGCTGTTGTTTAATTTAAAGGCATCCAGACAGAAGAGGCTGAACAATTTTGTTGGACTGAATTCTTGAGGAGCTCAGGTACATGAGTTTAGTGTTATTCCCGTTGCTTAATGTAAATCATGTTCCATCTCACTAAATAAATAGAAAACTCATTTTGGTTGTGTAATTTTTGTTTTATAACATGCTTTTTTTATTTTTAGGATTGCAGTTAAAATCCTGCAATCCTTCTACATCCTGCAATCCTTATATTAATGTAATATCTTATATTTCAATAATACATTAAAATGTTTGAAATATCCAAATTTAATTTTGAATAAATTTATTCAGTTGGGATTGCATTTTTGTTTTTCTTTTTTCCCTGGTGTTGCATATTTTCCCATCTTACAGAAAATATATCCGAAGTGTTTTGTTGAGTGCTTCAGGATTTTAAATGGAAAAGACATGATAATATAACATTCAGGTAAAAGAGATGTGACACAATTGTCATTAGTCCAGAAAAAAACACAATGACATTTGATGTTTAGTTTTTTTTAAGTAGCCCTTTATCTAAAGCTGGACCAGCAAAGTTTAAAACCACAGATACTCACACAAACAATCCAAGTAATCACGAAGCCCAAATAATTGTATTTATTCAATAAAAGCTTTTAATATAAGCAGATTACAGACTTGAATAAATGTGGTTTATTATTGCTGCTCTACATTATTCATGCTAGTATTACTACAGTAGTTTTTGACCAATGAGATCAAGTTTGAGACATTTTTATCCACACATTATGAATGCTAGTTATTCTTTATTACCAAAGTTGTCAGTAATTGTCATTAAATCATCGGGTTTTGGTGTTAATTCTATGTGTAACATTGAGAATGCCTTAGAGTCGCTACTAAGCACTAAGACGAGCGTCAAGCTGCTGCTTTGAATAACACTGTACCTGCAAACATTCGCTCTACAAACATCTGAGAATTTAAATTGGACAGTGCAAGATGATGCCTATCCCAAGTGCATTAGTGTTCCCTTAGAGCCCCAGTGAGTACAGAGAGGAACAGCTGATTAATAGCTCTCTAACCTCAGGTTATTTATCACCAGGTTTCCCAGCAGCTGCAAGTAATACAAATTTTTCCCTACTCACTTCTCCATTTGTTGTTCTTGAAACAGATGACACTATTAGTGTGTGTATATATCATTGTGCTGAAACTTTGGAATCTGAGTCAGATATTTATATATTTTTGTTACAACCGTCTGAGCATTGCTCTTGTTTTTGACCAGCAAAAGGCCACATGATGCTGTTTTGTTGGTGTTTACTCTTGATGATAGGATTTATTTATTTTTTATCAGTGAGAACTAATGCATCACGCTGCAGTGCCCTGACAACACAAGGTCTCCTTGCTTTTATTTTTGCAGAATGCAACCCCCACAGCAGAAAGCTTTATGCTGAGAAACATAACACTACATTCTACAACCTATGCTTTATTCTTGTAAATATGGCTTTCCAAAGAATCGTACTTGAAAGTGAAAGTGAAAAGAAAACCCTATTTCTTTTGAAATTTGAGTAATTATTTGTGCCGTATCTTGATGTTTTTTTTCCTTGCAGCGGTTGACCTGCTTTGCCATCTCCGGTAATCAGTGTCAAGAACTTTTCTCATATTTTTAGTTCTTTTCAGGTAGAAAAGCCACTTCGGGAACAATCCCACATGCTTTCCATGCTGTCGGCTTTCATCCCTCCTTTGTCGTTCTGCGCACTCGTGGCACAGCAGGGGGCACCATCCCATGTGTGCATTTTCTCCATCCGCTGCACATTTTTTCTTTTTTTTTTTTTTTCTACTTGGATTGTTCCATCTGGCATGGCATAAATTGATCATTTCTAAATTGCCAAATGTAGAGTGCGTTCTGTTTTGAAGAGCCCTGAGAAGCTAAATGGAGATTTGGAATGGGAACATGTTTTTTTATGTGGGCCTCGTTGCTGCAGTGGAACACTTTAGAGAGGCTTCAGCTTGTAAAGATGAAGGAGACAGCAATGCTTCTACCTGAATAAAACCGTGCTAAACTGCATGTGCCCATGAGTTGTTCCACGAATTCAGTTTTCTTTCCAGAGACTTCTACATCGAAACCCAGGAGCTTTGAGCCCATTTAAGCGACTGTGTGTACCAGACTGTCTGTGTTTGCTTTAGCTGGTCTGTTTGCCTTGTGAGGTGGAATTAAAAGTGTAGATCAGGTGCTCCACACAGGTGAGCAGTGATACCAAGAGCTTCTGAAGAAATTGCACTTTCCTCACAAATAACGTGTTAATAATTACTCAGGCCCTTTTAATGAATAAAATAGCAGCCATGTTCTTGGTGTAATAAGTGAAACAACATGTGCAAAGAGGAGCCATAATGTTTTATTTATAATGAGAAAGTTAAGTTCCTTAAATTTGAGACTATCTTTATAAATTTTCTGTTTGTTGTTGATTAGTGTACATTCAAAGATTCAGCTGTTTTAGTTCTAAGAGTGCACACTATATCACAATTCATAGTAAATGCAATATCCATTTGTTATTACAGAATATGATATATTTTTATATATTGCAAATGACTGTTTATGGTGCAATAGCACCAGAAGAAATTAGCTGTGATATAAGCTTTATAGTTAAAAAAAAAAAGAAAACCTGTTCCTCTGCCGTCATGCATATTTTCTTTGGCCACGGCTGTTTAGAGGCTTTTCACATCATTACATGCAGACAGGCAGATAGTGTGTAGCAAAAGTATTCACACCCTTTGAATCTTTTTTCATGCTACAACCACAATGTCTTTTCTTTGAATATTCATGCGAGAGACCCATGAGAAGTGCATAATAGTAATGTAGAAGGAAAACACCTGGTTTGCAGATTTTTTACCAGTTATAAAATCTATAAATTGTGATGTGCTTTAGAAGTGCCCTGGTTATTTAACATAAAGTTTTACTCTTGTGTGATTTGTTCTTACTATAAGTGCAGCTGTTCTATGAAGACCTCATTAAGCGTTATTAAGACCAAGGAATTCAACTAAATAGATGCTATAAATTTCAGATTTTGATTTCTTTAAACAACAAAAAAAAAAAACTGAATTATTTTCCTTGCATTTCATCATCTTTGTATTCTGCTTTCTGTTGATGTACCAAAAACAATCCCATTATAACACTGAGGTTTGTCATGAGTAAAGAGGTGTTGAGGTTTTTGCAAGGCATGTTTTAGAGACATAACTGGATTGTTCATTATGTCAGGGTCAAAATCTAGCAGTGAGAAATTGTTTAGAGCAATTTCGGACTTCTTGTCCAAAGTTGCCATGTTTGGATATATTTTTTGCATGTTTAGAAATGTTGCTCCTTTCAGCAGATCAGTTCTTTTCCCTCCCTCTGAAGTCATTTCACTGCTCTTGGGTTCAAGGTACAGACGTGGGTGTCTTACTGAAGAGCGCTCTCCCAATATGAGAAAATTTAATGCATCCCACAAATATTAGTGCTTTTCGGACAATCGGATTCTAGGATCGGGGTCAGGCCCTAGACCTGACGCTGTCATTTTAAGTTGCTCTTAATAGCATTAAAAGAACTGCTTCAGCCTCCTGATCTGGACTTATCTGGCAGCAGGGGATTTCACTTGAGTATCGCCGTGCTAGCTCTCAGCTCATGAGGATTTATGTGTGAGGCTTTGTTTTAAAAGTTTTCCAGTTTGGGATTTTTTTTTTCTCTCCCTACACAAATTGCTAGCACTGCAATTCCTACTTTGGCTTGGTGTTTAATATATAAAATAAGGGACCAGTATCTAATTTTTTATAAGAAATATTTATCAAACACCCTCCACTGGCACCTCTTTTGGGTTCCACATTTCTTGATCTGTTTTTTGGTGAGTTGCATAGCACTCCAAGGCTTGTGTGTTTTGCAACATAGGCGGCGTTATTCGGATTATAATAATATTTTGGTGCCGTTAAAGGGTCAGGTCCATTACAGTAGTGGTTGGCATTGGCCACAGTTGTTCGCCTGCCAGTTTCTGACTAATCTCAAGATTGAACACGAGAGCTGGATGATGCGGGGAGCGGGCCAACTCCATGGCAATTCGGTTTCAGCTAGCGCAAAGTTTCCAAAACATTCCATGTTGTTAGCCTGACTTGAATGAGGGGGCTACCTCATTATTTTTCAATCGTTTCAGTGAGCAAATCCTCATCGCAGCAGTCAAACAGTGAGGCCGTGACGCTGCAGTTTGCACTGATTAGGCTGCAACCTTTCAATAATTTCAACAGACTCCGTTCCCTGTTGCATTGTGAAGCCACATTAGTCACTGCTGTCTTCTCGTCCTCGTGACCTTGGCTGATGTATTGCTTTCATTATCTGCTGATGTACTCGGGATGTTCATTATGCAGTGTTTTTCATATTATGTCGCTGTCTCTTTCTGTTTGTGTGTCTGGCTTTTCTCCAGGTGTGAGGACGGAGTGCTTAGATGAACTGCGTGTCTTCCTGTTGGTCTGTGGTCTCAGAAGAGTCAAGGACCCTCTCTATTTGGCAGACGTTTTTTCAGGTTGTTGCTTTTGCAATTTTAGTACCGTATGCACTGCAAATGTGCACAGAGCAAAGCAAAGGGTTTGTTTTAGCTTCTAACACAGTCTAAGACATGAATATGCTTTGATATGAACAGTTTCATTCAAACGCTGACGGTTTGGTTAGGATTGTTGTGCTGCAAGAACATGAAGTTTCTTCCAAATTTTATGGCTTTTTGCACCCTTTAACAAATGTTCTTACGATATCATCCTGTGGTTAGCTTTATCCACTTTTTCATCAACTCTAATCAGCAAACAAAGCATCCCCATGTCATCACCATTATGCCATAATGTTTTCTTTTTCAGACAGATGTCCATTGACATTTGCATGTAGTTTAGCTGCAGACTTTTCATCGCCACTTTTCCGCCGCTTTAATACCAATAATAAAACATACACACGTGAAAATTATACTTTTTTTCCACATTTTTTCCCTAACTTCATTAGTACTACTTTGTGTTGGTTGAGCACATAAAATGCAGTGATTACATGACAACAAATGAGAAGTTCAAGGGGTTTAAATACTAATGCAAAGCTATAAAATTTATCAAAATGCCAAGTGTTAGCCTTGACAGCTTTCCTTTCCAGCTCATTCACTCAAAAGGTATCCTGTGGTGAAAATGATGTTAAATCTTTACAAGTGACTTTGAAATAATTGAACCTTTTTGTAAAAGTAAATTATAATTATTGTTATTGCTATTATTGTTAATACTTGTATACAGACAGGCTTTTATATGTTTTTTTTTTTTTTCTCCCTGTAGAGGCGGCCTTTCCACTTTAACGTGAATTCAGTGAAAACTGTTACAGATTCTCAGAACCTCTAATGCTTTAATCCATCATTCTGTTTTTTTTCCCACAACATGCAGCTATGGTAATAAGACAGCACTAGAGGGCGTCAAATTGTACATTAATGTTGAGATGAGCTGCGTGAGGATTTTATGTGCATTTGAATTAAAATCTAGTGCACTCATGCCTGAAAGCTAAAGCAATGTGGTGCTGTGAGACAGTACAACTGTAAGAAGTCTATTAAAATATATGCAGTAATTCATAATCATTGCTGTTCACCCCCCTCACACTCCAAACTGCCTCTGTTTACATTTCTCCCTTTGCTTTGCATGTTTCAGAGTGGCATTCAGAGAACCTTCACAACATCCTGATCATAATCGGGCCAAAGGTAAGTCATGATCTCAACACTTTATGTTTAGATTGTTGCAATGTTATTTTAAAGTATGAATATTTCTTTCCTTTGTTTTGTCTGTCATAAAAAGCACTGTGCTTCTGAATGTCCAGAGAAACCTGCTGTTTGAAGTCAGGGAGCCTCTAATTGGATGTAGCAGAGATACAGACTTTAGCTGTTTAGCTGGAATTAAAGAGCAGCTCTGGAGGGAAATGTCTCCACTGTCAGCAACAGTAATGGTGTTTTTTTTTTTTTCCTCCTCCCCCCCCGCCCCTCATGTCATGTGTGCCTCGAGCTGTTTCGCTATTTGCTAAATTGATCCACAGCTGACCCCAGATTAGCACTTGCCTTTGACTAATGAACTGTGCAGAGCTCTCCCATTTTCACACAAATAAACAGAGATTTATCTAGAAATGTGAAGGTTTAGATTACATGCAGAGTTTGTGGCCCGGTCACACGGCATCATACCTCTGAACTGTTTATCTCCCGTGGAGGGATTGACTGCACCTTTGCTGGGAGTGGGGAGGGAAAAATAAGCTGAAAACTCTCATCATCATCTGATTTATAAAAATAAATCAATCAAGACTTTGATGCATTTATTGTGCATGAAAGGATTCACATTTGGTGATTACAAACCACTGGAAAAGGTTTTTTCTTTTTTTTTTTTTGCTTTTGGAAGGGTGTCGAGAGGAGGGATTTAATTTCACAGACAAACATAAAGTGTCACATAATTTTGAAGTGGGAAAAAAATGACATGGGTTTAAACTATTTTCACAATTAAATGAATCAAGAGTTCATTTGTATGCATCTTCTTCACTCTAAAGTCCAGAGTTTTCAGAAGTCCCACAAGGAGTAAATGCATTGTAAGCTGAAGTCTATAAGATGTTCTTTGAAAGTCTTAGATTTCTGCTAGAACATTAGTGAATGCTGTTATAAAGAGCAAGTAGCAGACAGGTCAGGGAGGAAGGGAAACGAAAACTACTCTGAAAACTTCTGTCTTGCATTGCTTGAAAAAGTCCGTAGACTGGAATAGGCAAAATGATTGGAAACCATTCATAATTGTCCTTTTTGCTGCTCTTCATCGTGATGTACCACAAGGTATTGGTCTCACATGAAATTACAATAAAATTAATTCAAGTTTAAGATTTAAAAGTGAGAAAGAAGTAGACTTCAAGGGTTTTGATACTTGAATACACTGTAAAATGTCTCGGTCCTCTGTTCACTTTGCTGTTTCGTTTCCAATCTCTCTCATTGATTCCTGTGTTTGCTGTCTTCATCTTCTCTTCCCCTTGACTTGGTTTGATCTCACATCAGTGAGTCGTACTTAAGCATCTGTTCATTCTCTCAAACAGTGGTGCCAGGCAAAAGGTATGTTGTGCCTATAGTTTCTCTCAGAAAACAGCTCTGTAAGACATAGCCAGAGGCATATGCTCTAACTTACTGCCGCTTCGTGCTTTCCGCTTCGCTATGTTGATGCTTGATGAAACGCTTCAGTGGAAGGAGAGAGACGTGTGATTCATCTCATTCATCTCGCCCTGAAGCACATTCATGTTTGTTTTTCTGTGAAATAAGTAGATCTTAGCAGCTTCAGTGTTTCCACGTCTTTAGTTAAAGATGTTTTAATATTTGCACTTTTTATTTCATTAATAAAAACAGAAAATCTGCAGAGGATGTACACGCAGAAAACTCAGTGAACAGGAGGCAGAATAAGCCATGCCTTGCTCTGTCTATAATGACGCACTATAAATTCCCCCTCATAATAAGCACTCTGGCTGTGCAACATCTGTCAACAAGAGAAAAATTCAGGTCAGCTGTGTTTGTCAGCAACATCTTACTCCTTTCTTACTAGGCTTTAGAAATGCAATTGAAAATGCAGCTTGTATAAAGGGAGAAATTGCATGATTGGATAAAAATACTTTTTTTTTATCAACTTTACCTGCCACTTTGTGAACTTTAGAGAAACTGAAATGAAAAGAAGCAATTTTTTTTGATGCCACAAGAAAAATTGTTTTGTCCCACATGCAGCAGAATAATAAAAAATTAACAATATTCCTAAAACAAACCCAGATTGCACCAGAGCATTAAAATGCTGGCCATTCTAAGGGTTTGATTTGATTGTACACTATCTTAAAAATAAATTAGATGTAGTCATTTCAGGATCGCAAGATGAGAGAGAGCGTAAAAACTGCCCGTTTGCTTGGTGGCATCTCTGACCCAAATTGTTACGCTTCGACTTCTCTGAGGGCAGGCTAATGCAAGCAAATCCCACATTGCAATTAATCAGATTGGCCTCCCACCCCATCCTGACCCCAATCTCTGAAAATACAGGATTTCCCAAGAGAGTGATTTTCTCATGAAATAAATTCTTGTGACATTGTTTATCTTATCTGTCTGATTAAGTTTTCTGTTGGAAACCTTGCTGAAAATAAAGCTGCTATGGATCTGAAACGCCAGTGTTTGCTTGCCCTCTTAATCCTAAACCTACAGATGTATTTATTTTCCAGGTTGACCCTGCACTCACCGCTGAAGTGGAAGCAGTTGTTCAACGGTAAGGACTATGACACAAACACAAATACTCGCCCCTACAACGCCACTTTTTTCCTTCTGTTTTTCAAGCTGCAAACATTGAGTGACGTCAAAATGTGAATATGAGGCATTCCATCTTATTTTTCAGGTACTTACTAGTGATAAATGATATATGGGTCAATTTTTAGATGTCTGTATCGGCCCCATAAGTAAAACTGGCATCTCGCCGTTTGTGTTTCAGGAGGGGAAGGGGTTGGTCATGTGACAGTTAAGCAGCACAGGATTGCTGGGTATTTAAGCAGAGAAGCAATGTCTGTGGTGTGATTTTATTTTATTTTCCACAGTTTTGAAAGGCTAGGGCAATGCATATATCAGTAAATATTGATTACCGGTGCAACAGCGATGATATTGGATAGCGCTACTGGCCAGCAGGGTAGGGCGATATGGACTTTGAATTTTATCACAATATTTTGTGTTACTATTTTTCTTTCAATAAAAATGTTTTTAAATGTTCATTACTTCTTTTAAGTAACAGTACGAGTGTGAATGTAAACCATTTCTATTTCTGAAAAACGTTCACATTTAAAATAGGCTTCCTCAGGACGCCGCTTACTTAAAGAAGTGTGATTTATTAAACTGCACACAGTAATTATATTTAATCATATTTCCGAATGCACTGATATTCAATGAGGCTCTCATGAACCAACCTGGAGAAAAGAGAAAAAACATTTTTGATAATCCTGTCAGACTCTTTGTTCTTTTTAATTATAATTTATCGACACAATGATAAATCAAATGATATAAAAGTTTTCATGAGGAACAACACAATCAATATCCACCCCAAAAGGCCCAAAATGTTCATATCGGTGCATCAATAGTATTCACAGCTGCATCTCAGAGTTCAGAGGCTTTATTTGCAATGGAAACTGGAATATTTAGGTTAACAAAAGTTACTCTAAGACATTCAGCTGTAGACGAAATTGGGTTTGGCTGTGCATTCATGGTTAGCAGTATAACCGACATGAAAGCCAGAGAACTGTCTAAAAATGAGCTCCCATGAAGCTGAGGTTCAGTGAAAATAGGTTTACGTCATTGTTCAAACATTGGTTATAGCAAGAACAACCATTTGATTTCTCTCCGTAGGCACAGAAACTACTAAGGTTGTAAGTTCTTGCCTTGAAAAGGCTAGAACAAGAAAAACATCAGCAAGTTGAAACTTTAAGATATCAATATTTCTGACAAAGTGCCTTCTTTGAGTACTCTCAAAGAAGAAAACCACTCAGTAGACAGAAGGAGAGGAAGGCAAGAGGTTTGACAAAAATTTTCTGGTATGAGCCTCAAAAATCCTGGATCAAAGTTTTGTGGGCTGAGCTGCATTCGGACTGTCCTAAATCAAAATTGGAGACAATTGTGATCTTTTAGAAATAAAGCCGGCAGTACAGAATGACGGGAGGAGATGACTTTAGCATTACAATTAAGATCTGCCGGGAATCTCCTCACACAGATCTTTTCAGAACAATAACTGATTACTAATATCACTGTTGTTGGCTGAACATCTATTGGTCATATAACTTACCTTCTTACTGTTTTTGTCAGAAATTATTTCTTAGTTTCATTTAGGTTTTTAAATCCCATGGGTCACACAAACCATATGTCATTACATCACTCCCTGGATCTTCCAAAGCCAGCTTGCTCCCGGTACAAGTCAGCATATGCGTAGCTTTCACTTCCTCGCCAGCTGAGTCTGGGATATAATGAAACCACACTGGTTTCAACCCCTCTCAGCACTTTGTTCCAAATATGCAAGCTCCTTTGTGAAAAGCAGATGAGGGACTATCTGGACTTTCTGCAGAGCTCAGAAGTCTACATGGAGAAAAATCTGTTAAAGAAATATAAAACCCAACTTGCAGTTCGACCTTTCATCACATAGCAAGGTGATGATCATAACAGCAAAGACGTTGATCCGGATCAAGAGGTGCAAGGTTTTGTCTTGGACAGGCTTAAACCCCACGCAGTATTAATTTCATCTGCAGAAAAAAAAGACACTGGAAGGACTAACCATTTAGAACAAATTGCAAGTTAGAAATATGCTCTAAGATATTAGTCATCATTATGTTTATTCATCTGTTTTAAGTCAATTTGGTAACACTTTTTCTCATTCAAATATGTGGTATTGAACTTGAGTTCGCCCTTTACAGTTAAGGAAGCCACATGTTTGCAGTCAAATCCAAAAATAACCTAATTGTCTTGACCGTTCTGGTACTTTTAGAGGGGATTGCACATAAAATAGCAATCCGAGCAACCATCTCTTGACTGCGTTTGCAGTTTGCCTGCCAAACGCTTTCACCGCAGCAAAACCCTCTGCAGCAGGAAGCTATCCTGCCTTGTTAAGACTTTACCTGAACTCACTGTGCGTGTCACACTCAGTGCCGCCATGTGTCCTAGCCTGAACTTGTCGTTGCTGTTCAACATCATTCACGCCTAGATTGTCCTCAAGTCACACAGAACTCGGCTTTACCTCTGCAGGGCCGCTGGGGTCTTCCTGGCGCAGGAGAGGAGCCAGCAGGAGCTTCATGCCGCCATGAAAAGGTGCTTTGCCGTCGTCAACAGCTCTGTGTCAGAGGGCATGTCGGCAGCCATCTTGGAGGTAAACATTTTGAATAAGGGGGGGCGGGACTTTCAAGGTATTTTCAGAGAAATAATGTTCTTACAATCATTCAGTTGTGAATGCTTTTAGAGATATTTCTCTACTTATTTCTCTACTGCTTTACAACAATATCATCAAGCTAATTGAAGGGCTGTTACAAAAATGAATTGCCTGACTCCAGTATGTCTATTCCTGAGTGAAATCAAGCCTCAAATTCCACTTAATCTTCTTTAAACACAGTCTATTAAGACAATCCACAGTGGGCTTAAAGTCTTCTTACTATGTTTGGGTGTTTCACCCCACAGTCTGCTGACGCCAATATAAATCGCTAATTCTGTAAGTGAGAGTGGAGCAGGCTCTCCGGCTCTGTGTGTGCTTTTCCTGCTCCGCTAAAAACGAGCAGGAACGTTTTGTCCCAGAGATCGATCGTACGGGTACATCAAACAGAGTTAACAAAGCGAATAATGCAGTTCAATTCAGAGAGAAGACGCACAGACTGATATATTCATCACTCTGTTTCGCATTGTGTTTTTTTATGATAAGTTGTACAGCTAATGTAAAAAACCTATTTTGTCAGAAAGTGAGATTTTCCTAATATAAAGACAATAAAAAAGGATCTTCGTGATAGAAACGGTGACCTTCTTAAATATATGTTTGTGCTCTGGACAGCATATGCTGAGGCTTACCCTTCGTGTGAACTCTGTCAGTAACATGTCTTCCAATGATAGTGTGACATTTAAATTAGACTTATGTAACTTTCTATTTTTTTTCAACTTGAATTTCAGATTTTTTAAGGCATGATCACAAAAATTAACTGGAAAAAAAGCCACATGAAATATATCACTGTGTAATGAATCGCTTTCATATGCTGCAAATACCGAGCCACATAAAATTAGTCATGCTCTCCTAATTTATGGAGATGAACGTTGATTCGCCTCTGCTTCTCAGGCAATGGACCTCAGAGTTCCTGTTCTGGTGAGGAACATACCAGGAAATGCAGCTGTGGTGAAGCATGGAGTCACTGGGCTGCTATTCTCTTCTCCTCAGGTATAGTTGATCAAAGGAATGCAATCATTAAAGCACACCCTTTTTGTAAATATTTCATTATATCTTTCCATAGGACAATGCTGATAATCTGGCACTTTGATACAAAGCAAAGTAACTTGAATAATTATAAATTTTCTGTCCCATCAATAAAAAAGTGCAAATGCTGCTTTTAATGTCTTAATCACTGACAACAAAAATGCAACTTTCCAAATTTGTACCCTATTAGCCATTTTCCATTCCTGGTGTCATGTGAGTCATTAGAGTTGAAAACATAAACAGGACAAGACGTTGTTATTTTTGACGGTTGACTTTCTTTGTGTCCTTTTTGTTTAATGTTAAATTCAAGGCCAGTCTCAGGTGGGACTGGCGAGCAGGTGTGTTAAATTTAGTGTTATCAGTCTGGCAGTGGTCACTGGAAGTTCAACATGGCGCCTTATGGCAAAGGACTCTGAGGAAATAAAATAAAAAGAAAAATTTGTAGCTCTACAAAAAGATGGCCGAGACGATAAGAAGACTGGCAAAAGTCTCTCCGGCCACTGCCTTGCTAAAGAAACTGGACTGAACGTGCGTGTTTCCAGACCTGGTCCCTATTGAGCGTCTGTGGGACATCCATAAGTGGAAAGTGGAGGAGCGCAAAATCCCCAACATCCATTAGCTCCGTGATGTTGTCATGGAGGAGTGGAAGAGGATTCCAGTCTGTGAAGCTCTCAGTGCCCAGTAGAGTTAAGGCAGTGCTTAAAAACTAAGGGTGGTGACACAAAATATTGGATTTCTGGGCATAATTTGGACAATTTTCCTTTGCAGTGGTTTGAGTATTATTACTTATGTGGAGTTATTTTAATGAGACTTCAGATTAACAGTTATACAAGCTGCACACTGAAACAAAGTATCATATCTTCAGTGTTCTTCCATGAAGAGACGTAAAATAATTATAAAAACGTCCTATCACCTCATGCTAATTAATCACAAAAATATAGCAGCAAACTGGAAAGCTCTAAATAATGCTCTTGTCATAAAACCACACAGTTTCTTGCTTTAGCTATGTTTGTTGCGTAGGGAGGATAACAAATGCTAAAGCCAGTTGTCAGGGAAATAAAACATAGTAATGCTGTGACTTTATGTTGTGATGGCTGAGTTAAGTCCTCTCTGCACATGTGCTTAGCTGAACTGCTGCCAAAAAGGTCACACAGATGGTTGCAGCAACTTTGACCAGATAAACTATGACCTCAGCTGGTACTGATAGCCTGCAAGTGCCTGTTCGTCTGCCATCTTTTCACTCTTTTCTTGTTTTAGCAGCTTCTCTTGATTTGCTTAATTGTGTTTTCAGTTTGTAAAACCTTCAATGAGTCTCACCATTATGGACGTGTGCATACACTCATCGTGTGCATTAATTTGACGTTTTAAGTGATCAATTTGGGCTGTTCCTACACATCTGGCATAATTATACAACTGCAATAAATCCAGACAATTTTTTAAAAGCGAACTAGTTACTTTGCTTTAAAGCCCCTTGAGGAGTCTAGTTAACTGGTTTACCTTGGCCAAACACTTTTTGTTGCCATCAACAAGCTTCCAGACTAACTCTGGTTAGCAATCAGCTTTTACAAAGCTCTGACCTCAGCTATTTTGAAATTATGTGTGAACTATTGTTAAAAGAAATGTTTATGTTGTATATGACATTTCCTGTCTGAATATAAACATTTTACACATTAGCTGAACTCAGTACTGCTGCTGAGATCTCAAAGCTCTCATATGGCCAAAGAGAAGAGCCTCTTCAGACATGATCGCCTCGCTCGACGTGAAAGCTGAAATAGTATGCAGCCTGTCAGAGGCTTAAACTTGGTGCGCCCGTTGGCTCGCCACAGCACTAAATGTTGGCTGCTGTCTCGCAACAACACACAAGGCACTTTGACTTCATTTCCTAACACTCTTCTCTCGGCCTGCTGGGCCGACAGATGAGCAACTAGAAATTTGCATGATTGTGTGGACGAAAAACATCTCAACCAGAGATCAGTCAATTTTTTAATTTGCTTTTTTTTCCCTCTTCTTAGACAAATAATTGGACAATATTGCTCAGCTGCAACATACGCATTGTTTGTTGCCCTCTTTCGTTTCTAAGTAAACAAGCAACGGCAGCCAAAAATCATACAAAAAAAAAAGTTGTTGGACATCCATATTTGGATCTGAAGCCATAAATATCTTCTGCTTTTGGCAATGTACAAAATCTTTTGAAGTATTTAATAGTCAGTGTACAGGCTTCTATCTTGGGTTCTGTTCCTTTGCCTGGGATTTTTTTTTCTAATGCTTTAAAGTAATATATCTCCAAGCAACTGCACTGGTAAGCTTTAAGTAGCTCTTGGCAGTAAATGGGTGTGATTTTGGCTTTATCCTTTACAGGAATTTGTGCACCAGTCGCAGAGGCTGCTGTCAGATCAGGAGCTGAGAGAGAGAGTGGTAAGGAGTGGAAAACTCTACGTGGAAGAACATCACAGTGTGAAAGAGGAGAGGGAAACATATCAGAGGCTGATGGACAAGCTGCACAAGGTCCAGTTTTTAACCTAACTGTATACTTTCTCAGGAACTTTAGATGCAGACAAGAGGATGTACTGTATGTATATTTGTTTACTTATTTAATAAAGTTATTCTTATCTTTATTTAAATAAAATTAAAGTTTTATCAACCCTCCCTCACTTTAAGCTATATAACACTGAACCAAAAGAATGGATGTGTTGGAGTGTCACATAATATATACGACGTCTATGAAGCTGCTGTCATGTATGGAAATATAATGTAAGTTCAGTGGCTGTGAATCAATTTTGCATAAAGGGAACTAATAAAAAATTGCAAATAAAACAAAGTGTTCACTGGGTGATTATGTGGAATTAATTGATTCTTGAATTCTGTCCCATTCTGGTTATGCTGGCTAACTTGTTTATTTTGAATGAAGTGCAGGAAATGGATTTTCAAGACCCCAGCAAAATCTGAATCGGTTTAAAAGGCAAAGGGGGAAATTAGGTCCTTCCAACTTGCTGTATAAATTTTGGTTTTGGCAACGCACTGAAGCTGGGATGGATAGAAAAACTGTAACATGAAACAGACATTAAAGAGGTATTTTAGTGATATACCTGCGTTCTATACCAGATATGATAGACGGTTGCTCGCTAAACCTGTTGAAACTTTCTGTTTCCCTGGTGTAAAAAATGGAAAGTTTTTAAAATTCTGTTTAAAAACAAATGGCGTTGAGGGGGCGGGGGGAAATCGAAAATAAGAAGCTGCCTTAACCTGTTTGGAAAAATTCAATCGTCTTTATTGTAGACCTGCTGGTGAATTTCACCAACCTAAAATAGAGTTCAGCTTCCCAAATAATATTTTTCTGACATGTTCATTTGCAGATTGTGAGAAATGTGCAAAAGACTAAAATCTGCAACTTTGTAAATGCCATATGACACAGCAAAGGTCGTTATCAATAAAATTGGTCAGGGGGGATGGGAAGAGGCCAACTATAATTCAGATTAAAGCTATAATACTGTAGCTTTAATCTGAAAGCTACAGAACTTTCAGATTAATAGTAGCTTTCTAGAAGACAAAAATCTGCTGAATTCTCCATTTGTCTGAGCTAAAGAATATGGTCGTTCTTCCAAACTACTGAAATCTGGCTGAAGTCTCCCATGACTTTATTAGACTTTGTTCTAGTCTAATAAAACCCAATTTGAACTTTGGGTCAATAATTCCTAAAGAATAGCTTATCACAGTGATTTATGTTTCTGAGAGCATCAGTCTTTGGGGTGATGTAAAACTGCAGCATGTAACATACATAAACAACTGCTTTTTATTTATTTCATCATATGTAACAGTTTCAGAGCAAAAAACTTTAGGCTAGATCAAAAATATTTGCATTATTCTTATATCCAGAGCGGGGTCAGTGTGCGTGGGACGTGTCTCCTTTCTGCTCTGATTGAAGGCTGTGTTTGCTGCATGACAAGGCTGCTGTCAGACTAACAACGTCTAAGTCCTGTGGGAAGGTCGTCTCTCTGCTTGCTGAAATTGTAGTAAGATTGGTGCTTTCACATGTTGTCATAAAAGTCTATGTTAACACAGTAAAAAAGTTGCTCCATGTGATGTTAGCCGCTTTAAAAGAAAAAGGGGCTGATAAGTCGCTAAATATAAAAGCAAAGCCGCTAAGGGGAGGGTGTGAGGAATGCGTACACAGACTTGATTGACCACGACTAACACCCTCCTCCTGGCTCTGATTGGTTGTTTCATGTCTAGAAAGACAGATGGCAGTAGAATCACAGATCAAAAGAAGAGAAGCTCAGTTTTTGTGTCTCATACTGTCACAACATAGGCTGTTTTAAAACAATACATGAAACCCACATAACAAAGTGACATACTGCAGTTTGAATTTCAGATGGAACAGAGGATTTGGTCAAGGTGACTGAATGGTTACGAACATTTGAGTCCATTCCAAACATGAGATAGTTCTGACTCAAAGCCTTCAACATTTTATTATTTTCAGGGTCTTTGCGAGTCCAAGTATACATCTGAGTCAACAAAAGGATGAGTCTATCAGAGGAAAAAATATATTTTTAAATGGCTTAGCAATAGTTCAAAACAAATCTGACAGTATGTCTGCAGGAATCACCTGAAGAGGGCTGATCTGACAGATTTGCAAAGCCTTTTTGCAAGGTAAAGAGAGTAAATTGCCAAAGCAACATGGATTGCTGACAGACTCCTAACAAAGAAGGTTAGTAAAAATCTATTCAAAAAATGCCTCAGTGAGGTATTAATACATACTATTGTAATCATGTTGCCTCTTTTCAATTTTTACCGTCTAACCATGCTGTCCACTTTTCAGTTGAATTATGGGAGAGAGGTGCTACATGTGGGAAAGATTTTGAACTTTTCAATCATGGTCACATTTCAACAACCTGGCATTTTTTACTGTAAATTATAATAATTGTTCAACCTCACTGTGTTTTTTTTATTTATTTTTTTAAGTAAGATGCAATGTCAAAGAATGTTTCATATTTTTAATAATAGAAAAAAACTGAACATAATATACATTTTATTCTTTTAAATTAGTCATTTTTATATCGAAATTTTTTTTTGGCTGAACTCAGTATTGCAGGTGTTATTTTACATGTTTGAGTTTTAATTTTTAATATTTCACTTTTCTTTTTCCTCAGTATTTTTCAGAGTGTGGTGCATCAAGGGTGACTCATGCAGCATGAACATGTTGGGGCTTTAAATCGTGTCTATACAATAATGTCTCTGCTCAGCCATTTGTAGCATTATCACATACATCCATTCTCATATATTAAGTATATACAATATACAAGACATGTACATGTAAAAGGCCTAAATGGGCAATGAAATGTTGAGGAGGCCTGATACAAAATCCCATTTTCTTGACAAAGGCATTGAGGTGATCGAAGCCACATCTGCTGTACATGTGAGGTTTGATCAGGTTCTGTGTTATAACTGGTCCCCAGGCTTTATGATGGGCACTTGAGGTTCCTCCCCACTACACTCTTCCTTTCCAACCCAGTGGATGCCATGACCATTTTCCTTGGGTGAGAGGTGTGGCGAATGCTGGCGCTCCAGTGTGGAGAACGTGGTGAACTGAACTCGCTTTCTCTTGCTGGTGGGCGAGTGAAGGGACTCGCTTTGCATGGGTTTGGTCCGGTGGGAGCTGGAACAGCTGAGAGGAGAGTCCGTGACGGAGGCCAGGCAACTGGGCCTCCTGGAGAGAGAGGCGGTCTTGTCGGGCCCAATGTCAATCACAGTGGTCGCTGTATGTGAGTCTTGCTGGACCGGACTGCATGGCACAGTCATCACCAGCTCAGCGTCTGTGCCGAGCCAGACCCAGTCGTGCCTATGCCCTGTGGGCTCCTGGCCATGAGAGGGAGGCTTCTTATGCCTGAATTTTACAACATATGAGATGCAGTTCACTAGGAACACCAAGATGGCCAGGCAAAAAACACCCAGCAAGGCGTACATGCCGATCTCCAAGTCTGTGAGAGGCCTGTTGACCAAAGCTTCTTCACCGCTTTCTACCTCTGGCATCTTTGGTCTAGGAATCTCCACCTTGGTGGGGAAGTCATTGTAGTTTACCAGATTCCCAGGAGCTTTCACAGTACTCGTAAAACTAATACTGCTCATGTCTTCCACTATCATATTATCTGAGCTATGTACTTTGCTGCCTTCTCTGGGGCTGCTCACGAGGCTGACATTCACTATGCTGGTTGGACTGCCGGTGTTTTCTGGTCCTTTTGTCTTGCTCACCCCTCCGAGACCGCCGCTAGTCATAGTTCTCACAGTAGATCTGATTGTGGTTGGGATCTTCTGAATAGCACTCTCCTCTTTGTTTGAATTTGGGACACTCGAAGGAAGAAACTGTGATGGCCTCTGCTGCTTTCTCTCAACGTCCATCTCTTCCCCATCATTGCCATAGTCGTTGTTGCTGTCTTTGTTGCCAACGGAGCTCCGGTCTATGCTGCGGGTTGCTCCACCTGGCCGCCGAGTGTTGGCCTGAAACTTGACTTTAAGGCTGCCGTTGCCCACAGCCACCGTACTTTTGCGTTTAGACTTTTGGCAGGATTCGCAGATGGACATTTCTACTCTAACTAAGACTCCTTCACCCTCACCCTCCGCCACTACAAGAGGAGGTCTGCCCTGCACTGACACTACTCCCTGATCAAGAGATGTCACTGTCAATCGGTAGTTGGCTGGATCATAAATGTCAAGAGGCGTCTGGTTGCCATCACTAAACTGGACCCACGAACTGACCAAAGCTTCCTAAAAAAGGAAAAAGACAGAAAATAGCAAGAATTATGATTTCTTCCAAGCTTTCTGTTCCCTCAGAAACATTAAAAATAAATTATAGAAGAGTACCTGTTTCGGGCTTTGTAGAACCTCTTGTGTGGTTGTTGTAGCCAAGATGGCTCTGCTACTTCCTGAGCTGCGTTGTAGCGTCATAGAGAGTCCAGAAACCACTTGAACACCCAACTCTGTGATGCTCACTTTGTCATCCACAACTTTGACTGTTGTCTTTGCCAAGATAACATCTGACAGTGGTGAAAACACCTGTCACACAGAAACGTCGGACGAGTGTAAATAAATAAAAGGTGAGTTAGATGGCATTTATATACAAAAATCCAACTTCAATCAGGTGTTAATAAATGCTAATTGTGCAGTTTGTCCCTCGCTAATGTCTAAAAGCATAATAATTAGTGGTTCAGCCTGTTACCTGGATGTTTGTGGTGCCAAAGTCTCGTCCTGAAAGCACCCTTCCTTCCTGAAGTCTTGCAACTCTAGGATCCTCGACCTTCATGAAGTATCGAACCAACCTTGTAATGTCCGCCTGCCAATCAGAGCCCAGGAAATAGGCAGTAGGGTCCCGTGGGTCTTCCTGCTCAGCCACAAAATGGGTCAGGACCCGCACCAGTGCATGTTGAAGTTGGAGCATGCAGCCTTTCCCTTTCCGTTCAGCCTCTTCGCTGTTCCAGCCAGGTCTGGGATTGAAGCACGTAAACACACGGGAAGTTCACACCTGTTACATCGGAAATGTCAACCTTCCAACATCCAACCCTGACTCTTTGCTTCATTGGATTATTCCAAATTACACAATAATGTCCTTTAAATTCCTGGAATGATGTTGAAATTGATATTACCTAAATCAAATGTTTAACAAACAACACGTAGAAACTAAATTAGGGGATTTTGTTCAATGTAAAACTGTATATGTGTCTCTCACCTTTTTGAGGTCAGGATTGGAACTCTCCAGCTTTTGATCTGACTCAGTTCTGTGTCTGACAACTCAATCTGCAGAGGAAGCTGAGGCATCCACACGTTCAGCTCGAGCTGAGCACTCAGGTAGCTGTAGGTGAAGTTTACTGCCATCTTCACCTTGCCTTTCGTCTCCTTGCCATTCACAAAGACATAGTCACATCTGTCTGACACCTGGGTGGAGGATGAGAGAATAGCGGAGGAAGCAATCCATCAGATCTCACATATCAATTTGATCACCCGTCTAAC